CTTTGATTGAAGGCACCCTGGGAAAACAGTATTACACCCTTCTTTGATGAATTTTGAGGGAGGAGGTGAAAATAGCTGATTTCCATTTCTCACGTGCCCACTGACAGAACCTGTCCAATCCCGAAACCTTTGTAGCCCTCGCTTAGAACTCACTAAGGAACTACAAATGGTAATACATTTTCTCATATGAAATGATCTCATCATGAAAGCTCTGATATAGCTTGAAAATTGCCTCGCAACTGAAATAACCGACTTTGAATTGTACTTTTGATGGATTGGGGTCAGTGGTGATGTGGTGTCAAGCGACTTGCTCAGAGTGTCAGGCTACTTGATGCGCACAGTCATGAGATCAATCTTGAACCAAAACTCGCCCACGCCAATTGAGCCTTCCATCTCTCTGGCTTCAGTTAACTGCTACGGACTTGTCAAGAAAAAAGCACAGACTTGTACATCTGCTGGCCTGCAATGTATTGCATGGACCAAATGCCCTTCAAACGAAAGTGCAATCTGAGTGGGTGAATGACAGTGGAATAGAAAGTAAATGGGTGGAATACGTGGCGCACCCCGGAACTGTCGGTTGCACCCATTACTTTGCCCTTTTACCCTTTTTCATGGGGTTGACCGTGAAATTACAATATCTGTCCCGTGTAGAACTTCGTTTTCATAGGATTTCAGATTGCCCTTCTACAATAAAGTATAATATCACGGAAGAGGTCAATTAGGTTCTTTTTCACGGAATTGAACGATAGTTTTTTCTTGTTTCCGTTCAGAGTTTTCTCAGCAAAAAGGTCAGTAGGGGAAAATTCGATGCATATCCAAGAGACTCTGCGAATCCGACCCCAATTCGGATATAGGCCGCTAACCAACACAAAGATGACTAAGGCCAATTCTGCTGGAAATTGCCGGCTGATGCTTAAAAGTTGAGACCTCCAATGAATCAAAATAATATATTGAAGATTTTTGCGACTTGCTAATACTGAATTACTTGAAGTTCCTCCTCCCACATACTTTTAAGTACTTCTAAAATTTCTGTGTGATTTCTACGAATGGTCGTTTTCTTGTAGAAAAAACCACTACGATCCGTAGGGGTAGAAAAACTATCATACTACCGAATCCAAAGAAAAAACTAGCTAAACCAGCCTTCGGAGGCAAAAATTATCAATACTACTACTACTAGCCAGAAGTTACGAGCTCGGACATTCCCCAGGAGGTCGTTAGCTATGAATAAATGCCACCGAATTCAAGCCTTAACGATGGGTTGTTCAAAGCTTGACGAATGCTTTACGACTCCAAAGACCAGCCTTCGACCAAAGTGGGGAGAACGGGAACAAATCTGGCGTAATTTTCAGTGAATCCTTCAACAAATCTGGCGTAATTTTCAGTGAATCCTTCGGTCTCTCACTTATTATTTCGTGCATGCCAATTTGATGCATGAGAATCGGCACCCTTAGAGACAGCCTGCGCTTTTTGGGTTGAATGAGTTCTGAAAAGTGCATCTTTAATTGAATACTTCCAATTCACACACAGCTTTTCTTTCGATTATTGCTGGCTAAAATAGATACGCGAGTCCAAGTGTCCTCGCGGCCAGCTGTTAGATGCTGTCCTGCGGTCAAAATTATTATTAGTAACAAGAAGGGCTGATGCTCTCTGAGCACAACGTTGCTAATAATGAGCACCACAGTAATTACTTTTCTCAGCAATCCTTATTAGTTCCTTTCCAGTTTAATTAAAAGCGAAAGCCCATTGCACTTGCTGCACTCAAACGGAGCTTCACGCACAGGCGGGGGGGGGGGAAAAAACAATTTTTTTTTTGCTTCGGTCTTTTTTGGGTGGAACCTCACAGACGGGAAAAGTTCATTCATTTGAAATGGAGCTATTTTTTGAGCGAAAGAAAGCCTGGAGATTTGTCCGCACGGTCGAGGGTGAATGCATATGAAAGTAGAAGCGAAATGAGGTTTCACAAGTGGAAATTCACACATTCGGGAATTAAAGATGGCCAACTAACCATCCATCCAATAAGACAGAACTCTCTAAAGAGGAGCACTCAATGCCAGGCCAAAAGGCGATATTCAGGCAGATTACCCGCAGATTACGATATTGCACTCTGGAGAGTCGTTCCAGTGTGCCGGGTGCGTATGCAATCCTTTGATTAGAAGAACCCACCTCTGCTTGGAGCACTCTTGCTTTATTTGATACGTCAAGCTGTGAGGCACCGTTGGGCTTAAATGGGGGATGTGTCATTTGCTTGTGAGTTAGGCAAAGAGGAGCATTAGTGGTGATGAAAAGCAAAAAGGCACATAGAAACACTAATTTTCCTTATAGGGCCAGTCGATTTATGCGGGAGGCGCCAAGCGCTGGGGCCGTGTAGCAACAGATCGTCCGGAGACCCGCGCTAGTGGTCGTGGCCGCGACGTCGCGGTGGCGGTGGACGAGTTTCGTAATCGTCATTCGATTGTGAATGAAAAGGAACGCCAAGCGTTCGTTTCAATACCTGAGTAAACCTGGCTCGCACCTGAAGTGGGGCGACCTTAATGAGGTGTGAACCAGACCTAATTAAGTACAAAAGGTGCCCTTTCTACGAGATTGATCTTGGGAATCATGTGAATGGAATAGATCATGAAGAATCATTGCCCCAATCGTCAAATTCGAAGAAGGGCGCGCCCATCGAAAAACTGCCGCGTTGCGACGCCGCGCAAGTGACCGCGCGCGACGGCGTCACTCCCGGACGATTCTGTTGCACGCTCCCCGAAACTCGAGGAAAGATAAATCTGACGAGAAGTACGGACGTACGCGAGAGGGCCGAGAGCAGGTGTGTCTGAGGTTGATGAGAATGGCAAGAGCGCAGCACACAAGGCAGGCCTAGGCGCCGTATTCGTGACAGTATCGTGCCTGACCTTCCTCCCCCTTCACCTTTCCGTTCTAACTCTTGAAGGAACTGGCGCTTGAGACCCAATCTCACTTCTGGGCGCCTTAAGGCCACTAACCGTACACACACTCAAGCCTAAGATCAGAAGTAAGGGCGTTTGGCCACTTTCGCCTCTGACGATGAAGTGTCGGACCTGATCGCACGTTGGTTGGTGCCCTGTACCATGTGAAACATGAAGGAGTGAATGGGTCGCAAGGCCCTGTTCTTCTCTTTGCCACAAACGGTTTTTTCGACTGCTCATCCGAGACAAGGTGATATGCACGCGGCTGCCCCCGTCTAACTTGGTAATTGTTAGGTGATCAGTTACAAAATAAATCTTACCTAAGTAAGGGATCAACCTCATGCCGAACACTTGACGGTGGTCTCAGCACTCATTGTTCTTCTAGGTTGGAACTCGATCCAATCCGGTTTTCTTCTCTTCGAATTGGGGCCTGTCTCCCCCTTCGATCTCTTTTCCATCATGGACACTGATTGTTCATTGGGCCGTCGGTGAAAAGTGTTTCAGCAAGTGCACGATGCCCTTGTTAAGACGCGTGGAAGGAAATGGCTTATGAACAAAATGGCCTCACGTACTATGACAGCGTTCTATCGATCCTGGGATATGTTCACGTTTTTATTAGCGCGCTTATCGCTAAGATCCGGGACATCTTCCAGCTAGGCTGAGAGCGGGCCAGGATGTCAGGTAGAATATGAGAAGTTTGCTCAGCGGCGTTCTGAAATCTCTGACTCCCGCAAAGGCTGTACCGGTTGTCCAGATAAAAGAGAGTTTTATGCGATCTCAAATGCATTGCCACAACGATGTCCCGGTATCTCGCGATAGAGCATTCTTATTTTATTTATTGGAAGCCTAAGAAAAGGTCTTGACGGTGTCTATATCGAAAGAGCAAGCATCGAAAAAAGTGCAGTGTTGTCCTGCGGACGTTTTGTCCATTATTCAAATTATACTAGTGACAACTCCAGGCACGGCGCTGTCATTGACTAATTAGTCTTAACCAGTCCCTCTTTTCCACATTGAGAATAGCATGACGCGCATGCGCGTCAGATTTTCACACCAGTCAGGCTCGTTTTGTTTGATCTACTTGACATTTTACAATTTAAAACTTTGTGGATGCGAATACTTATTCGGAAAACTGTGTTCCCAGTAGTGGAATTCTTCAAAAAGTAACGACGATTTCAAAAATAATAAGCAAAAAGTAGCACAGGGGCACAACGGGTTGTTCGGGTTGTGCAATCTGTTACTACGTAGTCTCAAACAGGACATGCCAGTCACCCTGATGTTTTTCAGTTGGCTGAAAGGCCGATATGACGAGCCGGTTAGATCTGCTGAAGCGGCACCTGAATTACTCGGACTTGCTGGTTATCTTCATTTACGTGCCCTCGAGAGCATGCTGGTTGCTCACGTACGACTGGCGAGGAGGAGATCTTTTGTGTCGAGTTGTGAAAATGATGCACACAGTGGCTTTCCAGGTGAGGTATTTTTATAATGTTCACCATTACTCAACCAATGTTCTCTGCCATCATCAAAGCTCTGCCACTACTCTGGACATTGATTTATCGAGGGTGTGTATTAACTCTTCAGGCCCTCAGAGACGGTCTAGGTATTTAGTTCGTGTGTATGAACTCACTTATCTTGGAGGCACTTTCCATGGAACTTTGAGATGAGACCCAGATATTCGATAGAGCTTCAAACGCTGATTACAAATATGGAAAAGAAAATTGCAAAATGAAGTTGCCAAGGAAGTTGTGAGCAGTCAAAGTTGGCTGGAAGTAAAGCGTACATATGCACCGTGCTAGCCTCCGTGGCTTTCAGAGTCGCCGTGGATTAGTGGTAGAGCTTTCGCTCTCCATCCGGGAGGTCATGAGCTCATCCGCGCGCGAGAGCGAATTTCGACAGTCACTACCTCCTAATCCGACGCCGTTGGCTGAATGCACCGGACGCGTGGTATCAAAAGAGGCCCGTCGGCGGAACAAGGCAGTGGTCACGGATGTCGTCTGATGATTTTGACGCAGTTAAATAAAATGTGTCATTGTGTCATTGTGCGCCTTACATCGCACATAATGCGCTGCGACTCGTTCCACGAACTCTGCCTTCAACGACGGGCCTCCTGTCGGGTACCCGTTTGCAATTTCACTTCCCATATTTGTGATCAAAGTTTGAAGCTCTATCGGTATATCTTGGTCCGAATTCCATGGAGAACTGAGTGCCCTCCCTGATTAGGAGTTTCTTCCGGCAAGCGTTTCCACTAGTGACTCTGTGAAGGATTGCACCATTTCCATACGTGCAGCACTGTAGTTAATGAGATTGATTTGCATAAGTCCAATAAATATTAGTACGCTCCGTCGCACCAAGGAAAAACACTCGAGAATTTCAGCAAAGTGGGATGAGCGTCGAAATGAGGGAAAAGGGCGCCCAGAGAACAACCACGTCGATTTGCAAGTCACCTTTTGAAACATATAGTAGAAGTTGTATGGTTATGACTTCTTTTCGGGTGTAGCTCCAGCCACAGAAATTCCACACTCTGACATACAGTAGCGGTCAAAAGTGTTCGCCGAAACGGTTTTTCGTGCTTTCTTTTTTTTGCCAGAAAAAATCAATGGTGGCCTCGAAAATTTTTTCTTTTGAATATCCTGATTCTTTAAGACTTGAGGATATAAAAACACTAGAAAACATAGTATATCAATCTTTGGAGGGCGTTGCTCAAGCGAGAAAAAATAATGCACTAAAAATCGTTTCGGCGATTCACTTTTGTACATACATCTCTGTGGTAGTGTAGAATGGGGTACTATGCGGGTCGAGTTCAAGCGGGAGAAGACCTCGGTCCTACAAAATACCTTAAGACTGCACTGTGAGTAGTAAGAGCCGCCCTATGGAACTATGGACTCTCGAGTTCCTCTTTGCCTCTTTGCACGCTATATTGACCCTCTGCTGGAGCAGAGCAACAGGCTTCCCAGCATGGAAGGCTGCGTCTGCCATAGTTAACAAATCGAGGACTTCGATTTTTTTATCAAAATTATCGAGGTCTGACAAATACACATGAGCATTGATGAATGCCACATACCCAGAAATTCGGGTGTCATCTCCATTAAAAGCACCTCAGGAGAAATTTTGGGGAAACACTGCTAATAAGTAGTTTACGCCCGAGGTTTATAGCAATTTATTTAAGTCTTTCGGATCCGAACTGAAAAAAACTTTACCATGTCACAAGCCGTGGAAAAACGATAGAGAATGTGTTGCCAAGTTTTCCCTGGATTCAGTTCCTAGAAAATGCATATGTAAACCATAATGGCCCCTGCTTTAGATTGAGGACTGGTTAAGCCGCAACCAGGATACTGGTAACCTCTATTCGGCTAATGTTTCGGCTTTCGTCGGAGCCTGGAATGCCAAAGATAAGGGAGATTTACCAACTCGTCCCTAAGCACCTTTTCAAACTTCAAGGAAAGTCCTATGAACCCGATGCCTCTTGAAAAAATAAATCACCATCATAAATCACAAGCACTGGGACTAACCTCAAAATATAACCGGACTTGAAGTAGACCACCACTAATCTGACTCAAGGGGATGGCTTCAGATGACCTGGCCCCTCGGCATGAAGCCGATGGCAAACGAAGCCCACAGAGGTCAGAAAAAGGCGCGAGTTCGTTAGTTATGGCTAGGCATTCGTCTTTCCTATTCATTTTAGCCTCGCGTTGATAAAGAATGCCTCAAGGGTCTAGCTTGCACAAGTAAGCGGTTGCCGCAACAGAAGATTTCTACCTCGATAATGGCCCTTAACCCACAAAAATGCTGAGAGAGCTTGAGTGTCTTAAACACTTGCCCTTGTTTCGTGATTATTCCCTTTATTCCCCTCTCGCTTTATAAAAACTAATTTTTCTATTTATCAATATTTCTATTTATCCTCACTTTCAGTCTTCGTCGAACGTTATCGTTTGCATTGCGCTGGATCGTCTTTTCTCAGTATTTTCGGCAACGCGACATTCTCCTGATAAAGCTAATCGCCGGATTAGGCTGATGCTCGCTGCAGGTTGTTTTCCTTCGAAAGAAACCCTCTCAAACACTTAGCGATGTTGTGTGTTTTTAGCGTGGGCGACCGCGTTCATCATTGGACTTCCACAGCTTGCTGTTTGGAGAAGTTACGTGCCATTTCAGCATCTGAACTGGAGCCAATGTTTACAGGTAACACTGCACTCATACATTGAAAGTTGAAGAGCGAACTTGAAAATGCGTGATGGAATCAGCCGCTTTGGAATGCCAGCAAAGCTCCCTCTCCAGTGTGACCATGGAGCAGGATTAGGCCATGCTGCTCCTAATGCGGCGCAAATCCGCATGAGAGCTTCGCAGACCTTAAGAGAACCACCAAAGAAAAACAAAAGCTGAAAAGTGCAGTAGCTACTTCTGCTTCTTGTCTATTTTCAATGCAAATTTCCTTAAAGGCACATTCCAAGAAAAACTTGCAAAATTTACCAAGCCATTGAGAAGGTAACTATTTGTTGTTGGAAGGGAACGTATGAGTCATTACTGCGGTAGAATGCGGCTTATGAATAACGATGTCAGGATGTTCTGAATGCTGACATCTCTGCCTGCCCTGACACCCTTCGCTTCGCCTGTGCCTCTCCATTTGCCCTGGTCATCGGAGTCTCTCTTCCAGACACGCACCCTCTCCAATGATGACTCGCCCACAAACCCTAAATCAACTATAAAACAATAGGTCTACTTTATCAGATTTCCTTGGCTTGAGCTCCTTCCATATCGGGCCAAATAGCCTCAGAATTGTCTTATATTTCTACCCACTACCCATATCTGGAATATTCCTTCACTTCGGGGATAGGTGATACAATACGGCAGTTCCAGATACTGAACTGCTGGCCTTACTGGCGTTGCTGGCAATAAGAAATGGACTTTCCATCTGTCTCATTAGTTAAACACTGCCCAGTTTTTTGCTTACTTTACACTTTTCCGTGGTAGATTATCATTAATCTTATGGAAGGGTACAAAAATCGACTTATTTTCGGAGCGCTTTCGCTGTAAATCTAATCTTTCATTCTTTTTGAGCCAGCCAAACTCTTACGTAGACTCATTTGTACTGGAGATAGCGAACTGAACATTTCTCAAGACAAGCAGTTTTTGCAATCTGCGGAAACTCGTTATAGTGGTATGCGCCTTGCCATTCAGGCATGAGAGACTAGAGGACTGACGATGAGTCAAATGCTTTGTCTCATTCGAGCTGGCAAGCAAAAATCGTAGCCGTCGTTACCTAACACTCAGCTATCGGAGGTAACAACACTCTGACGCGCCCAAAGCGACGTCATGAAACAAATCACTTGATATTTTGCCACAACGAGTCCTCAAAGGAATTTTTCGCGGAAATTATTGCATTCTTTCTCAACATAAATGTATAAGGTGTGATCACTGGAAACAGCATCCAAAGTTACACTTATGAAGATTCGGTTTCCGATTATGGACAATCGAAGGTAAAAGGCGCGGAGCCAAAGGCGGAGCATGGAAAGAAGTCCTCCTTAGGGCGGTTCGTATCAACACGACATGAAGGATAGCTTAAAGGACGAATTCACGATGAAAAAGCAACCCATTTCAAATTAACCTAGGGATGGTGAGTGGTACACGAAAGAAGGAAGAACCATGAGAAACGGCCCAGAACCCGAGAAATGGGACCCCTTCCTTCCCCGCTGATTTGCGCATTGATGCGACTCTTATCGCTGTGCCCTCCTCAACATCACGCTCTCTCTGCTATCTAATCAATCCCACGTATAGATCTGCGGCGAGTGATCAGCTGGTCGGTGGGCGGAGATCGCCAGACCCGCCAACTTTGAGGCATAATAGGTCGCCGAGGTCAAATTTTTCGATGCGAATTGCGCATCAGTTCGCACCCTCAGGAGGTCCGTGGGTTACTCAACTAGGTGAATTACTTCTTCCTCGACCTCCATTCTAATCGTAAAATCCTCCTTTAAAGAGCGCAATTTTAGAGAGCAGTCGACAAACCCATTAGTTGCTTAAAATAGGATCGGCTCGTTTAACTTCGTAAAATTCAAAGATGCGCAATAGAAAGATAAGATAAGGATAAAGCATTTGCCGTTGATCAATCCCTTTTTGGGATGCGGCACGCATTCTACTTCCATTTGTACATTCGCAGTGGCGTTTGAATGCGATGTGGCCTATACAATGACTTGCGGGGGCCAGCCGATGTACAAGTCAGTGTTTTTATCCTCCCAGACAAGTCTGGTACCAATTAACCGACCCCGGAGGGATGGAAGGCTTGGTTGGCCCGGGCGACTCACGACCCAGGATTTGATCCCGGACCGCTCGCGTGGTGAGCGCGCCACTTGTCACTACACCACTTCCGCCAAAGTGGAGTAGAAGTGTGAAGATGTGAATGCAATAAAGCAGAAGGCCAGAAAGAGTTTCTAGTGAAGGCACTCCAAGAACCAAGTGGAAGCATCCCCGTCGCCAGCATTTGTGAAAGACGTCCGTGGGCACTTTGAACGCGTAGCAGCCTTTTCGATTTTTCGAATTTTTTTCACAAAACAAAAGCAATATTTCTGTTCTTTTCATTCTTATCGTGGATAATGAGTCTCAAGCCAGTGATTTATGGCTGAAATAGAATCATGATTTTTCCGTGAAGGATTCCTTTAAGATATCCCAACGTGGTCACGCCTGCAGAGCCTAAAATTGGGAGGTCCTAAAAATACGCAGCGGTCTACCTCTCAGGTTGGATGGGACAAAATGAGAGGAACGCACCAAATGGATTCTGCAGTGCGGTGCATGTTAAAGCTTTTGATGTGATGTAACTCCATTTTGAGTACAAATCAATGATGACACCCCTGAATGAAAACTTCCTTTCACTAAAATCGGTAGATGACTATGAAAAAGTACTGCAGTGGTGAATGTAAATAGACCAAGTCCTGCTAAATCAGATTTTTTTTACCATTCACATGCGAAAGCTGGAGATTGCTCGATATAATATTCAACACTATCTACCATTTTAAGAGTCTCATGGCATAGTTATATGGCTAACAATAAGAAATGATCAACGAGTTAAATAGAATCCTGATCAGGAGTACTCCCTCAATATCTTCGTGCAACTGTTCTGTAGCATTAATATTACGCGCTTGACTTGATATCAGATAAAGGTGCTAATGTCCAGAAGTTATATGGGCTGATTGGATAAGGTTTCCCGACTCCGGTTTACGGATACTAATAATTAACGAATCAAAACCCTATGTGGGGGATCAAGGACACTCACCGGTCCGCAGTACACATCAAATGAATCGTTTACTATCAGGCTCTCTAGTACATACTAAAGATTAGTCTGCAAAGACCGCCCCTACGTTTTAATGCCAGTTTCGCCTTGTAGGTCAGGCTCGGCCGAGGCCAACAATATCTTCTGTCTATTACAGTTCAGTGGCGGAAGCCATTGATGTATTGAGTAGAAATCGAGTGCATGGCGTATGCCCAAAAAGGTTGATTGGGTTATGAGAGCGTTGTTACTAACAAGTCGAAATGGTCAAAAGAAAAATTCACCGGAATACAACAAACAACAATCTAGCTTCTGTTAACGCTCTATGAAAACAAAGAAAAGAAAGCTGAGGGAGCGGACCCGATCCCACAACGTCGGACCTGCAGATCGGCCTCTTTAACCGTTTGGCTATCGCAAAAATAGCGGGAAAAAACCTTCGTAATCTTGTTCACAGCATTGTTCAGCAGATTTGGAGGACAGATCTTGGAATCAGCGTTTGGAGACGCATCAAGGAGATATGCATCTCATTTC